AGATTTTTTAAATCAAATCAAATTCAAATCCAGATTTTTAAATCAAATCAAATTCAAATAAGTCTAATATTTGATTTAATTTGATTTTGAGGAACACTACTGCTATCACAGCCACAGAGCCCTATTGCAATTTATTAGAGCTATTCAGATTGATAAATTAACACCTTGTATTAACAGGTGAGGAAAAGATGAGACAAAGAGCCAGTCTTCTACAAGGTGAATAATAGTGAAGAGAAAGATAGCCTTCTCTAATCAAAAAAAAATCTTTAAATATTCCATAATGATCATATTTCTTACCCTTTTGCTCTAATGATATAATGCTACAAGCATATGATTTTGTCTTATTATTGTAAAAAAATCTTTAATATTTTTTGAAACAGATACTTAGGGAATTAATTTACAATTACCAGTAATACTAGGATTGATCAACTCTTTAAGTAACGATTCAGAGATGTTACTTTGTTATATACAAAAATATTTGGGTCCAATAATAAAGATATATTGATATTAATATTTTTTTTTTGTTGCTAAATATTATTGTCTAAATAGATGGGCTGATGTACGTCAATACTCAATAAGGGTTTAGAATCATTTAATTATTTAATTGTAACAATAACTAATAAACTAAAAGCTGTAATCATATAATATTTGTCTTTCTTGCTTTTCTTTAATATTAAAATCAAAACTAAACTCATGTATATATGCATATGGTTCTCTACAAATTAACAATAAAACAATATCAATAACTTAATAATTATGAATTATTGTATATAAAGAATCATATACAAGAATTCAGTTTTATCTAATATATAACAATTAATTAACATTATTAAAAAGATTTTTCATATATTAACTCAAAGTTTTTTGTATTAAACCTTCACACTTACAAACTTTAATTGAATTTCTTTAACCAACAAATATACAATGACCAAATGTTCGAAGAAACCATTAGTAAAGACAATATACTACCTGAATTTGAAGTTATCTATAATTTTGATGAATATAAAAGTTTTTTAGATATTAATAATGATTTAAATATTGATAACAATTTAGATAGTAATAATTTAAGTAAAGATATTAACTTAAATAAGGATGATAATTTAAATGATAATAATTCAAGTAAAGATGATAATTTAAATGAAGATGATGATGATCTTATGGTTCAATCTTTATCTATTACCAGATATTTTTTACCATCTGAAGCTTTTACCAAATCAAAATCAAAAACAATAAATAAAAAAAGGCTTGCAAAAAGCTAAGTATAGAAATATACTTGCTGTGATAAATTAACTAAAAAAAAATTGTTTAGTCTATATAGATAATGGTAATAGTATTTCTGAATATTGTAAAATAGTCTTTAAGCCCAAAACATCAATATCAAGTATAGCCACATATTTATGCACTAAGCACCGAATTTTTCAAGTAAAAAAATAGAAAGCACAGCTATCTACATCATCAACTACTCAACCAATGATCAATACAATATTCCAGAATTAAGCTGAAAATACTACTCTTTTTTTTGAAAATCAACAAACTTGTATTACATACTGATTAGTTGTCTGGATAGTAAAATCAATAATGCCTTTAGATTGTATAAATAATGATCAATTTCAGGATTTTTTGTTATAAGATTAATAGATGATTCGAGGTTCCCTGCATTAACACAGTTAAAAATATAATTAAAGAATCAGTACTTTATATACATACTACTTTAAAGGAGATGATACACCAAACTATGATTTCTGTTTATATAACAACCAATCTATGGACACAAAATCATGTTCTATATATTGGTATTATTGCATATTGGCTTTCTAAAGATTTTACCATATACCAATCTCTAATCACAATTAAGAATTTTCCTTACTCATATACAAGAGATCAAATTGAAGATTTTTTACGTAAAGTTCTTGTTGAGTGAGAGATATTTGACAAACCTAGTACTATAATAACTGATAATGCAATATTTATAATAAAAACAATTCAACAATTAGGTGCTAACTATCTTGGTTATATAGCCCATACTCTTTATTTTGCAGTTACAGATAGTTTAAAAGAATACAAAGCCTTAATTGGACATGCAAAATTATTAAATAATTTTTTAGTAAAATGTGATAAATACAGATAGAAATGGTGATCAACTAAATGTTTTTGATATTCAATTTTTTTAAATACAATAGTGATAATATAATGCAAATCATCTCTTTAGTGCTATCTAAATAATTTATGAGTCATCAACCAAATAATGTCTTATCAATTATTAGGTTTAAAATTTTTTAAAAAAAATTGTATCTTCGTGAATATGTATAAATTCTCAAAAAAAAAAAAAAAAAAATTAAGTCTTAAAAATTATAAGTTTTAAAATATTTAAAAAAAAAATTTTACTTTCGTAAAAATATAAAAATTCTAAAAAAAAAAAAAAAAAAAAAAAAGTAAATTTATAGATCTTATTTGTGACTATAAAGTTATATATTATTATTATTTTTTTTTGCAAACTGCAACTTTGGGTATCTTTAGGGCAGTATTATTTATCACCTGATTTTTTTTTATCAGAAGCTTACCTCTCCTCCCCCTTCTTACTATATATCTTGATTAGGTTTTTATATATAATTTTAAATTTTTTACTACCTCTCTCTCTTAAAA